GTTATTGAAAAGGTTGTGACTGAATATGTGAATATGTGGAATACAGTATGGACAAAGAGAATATACATAAAATACACATACAGGATGTCTTTATTCAGTGTAGTGACAAATATCCTATTAGAGATTATGTAGTATTATTTCAATTTAGTATGAAAAAGGTTTGCTGTGAAAGTGAGTTTTTCTTGTTTCTCTGTTGTTGTTTTCTGGTCATTTATGCACTCCTGTGTTTTTGTATGTGTTTGTGTGTTTGGTCCATGTGTGTTTCTGCAAACCCAGAGAGTTCTCCAAGGAGAGAGAGAAGGCCAAAGCTCGTGGAGACTTCCAGAAGCTTCGTGAGAAGCAGCAGCTGGAGGAAGATCTGAAGGGTTACTTGGACTGGATCACTCAGGCTGAAGACATCGACCCCGACAACGAGGATGAGGCCGATGAGGAGAGCAAGCGCAACCGTAAGCACCTTCTCCCACCCCCTCCATCACGTAGTTAAGAGTGATGCTGCGTTGGCATCATGTGGTGCCCTTCGATACAGAAAACTGATGGAATCCGTTCCGGCATCATCAAGAAAAATATCCAGCAGTGTCTGTTATTTTTGTGCTACTATAATTAGGCCTATGTTTATATAATAAGAACAGTACAGTTTGTACTCCTGAAATCTATAATGTGTCATAGTGGGAGTTTTGCAAAAAAAAAAAAAAGGATTAGCTGAAATGTTCATCCAATAACACTGTTTAAAACAGAATAGGTGCTTTTCCTTTTATTCCTGTGTCCATTTTGTGTGTAAAGTGCTCTATTTTACTTATTGCCCCAGATAACGGGTCAATCATGGTGGGACATGCAGTATCTAGCACAGATACAGTGGGTATTAATTCTGTTCTTTCAGTCCTAGGATTTTGCACCAGAGAGAGTGCTGAGAGAGGGTCAACTTTGTCCACCAACAGTAGTATCAGTAGTTCATTCATGCAAGTCTTCTGTGGTTCTGATTAAGCTTTTTAAAAGTCATTCTGGGATTTGTAAGAAATTACTAACTGAAGCAGAAGTAGATGAAGCAGGTTGATCAAACATGGCCACAAGTTAAAGGTCAGTTGTGCGACAGTAATTAACTCTTGAGATGCATTGGACATGGCAGATTGACAGTGAACCATTTAATAACAGCTGGTAATGGAACTTTCCCTTAATAATGCAAAATTATTGAGAATAATTCAGTGAGGCTTTCCTGGCCATATGCAGACGCAATGCACACATACATACATACATACATACCTGCATGTAGACATGGAGTGGATCTGATTGTCTTTCCCTTGAGTTGTTCAATATAAACATATAAAAAGGTGTTTGAAGCAGAGCTGCGCAGACAGCTTTTATCTTCACACTCAATGTATGTCACTGATGGAAGTGGAGCATGCTGTGAGCACCACTGGAGTTTATCTGAGAGGGGGAAAAGAAAAAAAATATATTACTTGAGCAGTGGAAAGACTTTTAATCCAAATCCTCTTTATATAAGCAGCACACATGATGCAGAACACCTTATAGTTTGAGCGTACAATCTCTATTTTTTGCTCTCTGTCTGCCCATTACGATCTCCCCTCATTTTTAATGCACTCTGTCCATTTACTGTTGCCTCTCCCACCTGTCTTTTCCTCTAGTTATACTTCATTTATAAAGTGTGTGTAGTGTACTCTACAATTTACAGTTGCAACATTACAACAAACGTTTACCCATAAAGTGAGAGGCTCCTAGTCAAAGCTGTGGAGGTTCTGTGTTACGAGGAGGCAGGTCCATACTGCTTTTCTTCAATATCCATCCTGGCTTTTGGTGTCTGTCGACGATACATGAGCCCCTGCTAACATGTTAACATTCAAATGCTTTAATTTGCACTGTAACATGTTAGTACAGGGCTTTCTCACCTGCAGTCCAGTGACTAACAGCTCTCCATGTTGTTCTTCTGCCCTCCTCAGTGTCTGCAGTCCCTGTGGCTCATGCTGCTCTTATCATTGTTGGATATTGATATTTTGAATACTGTTGTTGTCCTGTGGTGCTTGTCTGCTCTGACCCATTTTGATAGCAGCCCATTCTCGCCCCCATGTCCCTCTGCTGTGCCGTTGTGTCTGAATGCATGGACTTGCATGCATTACACATGAAGGGGTGACTCTGGCTGACCTTACTGAGAAGAAGAAAGGAAGGTTTGGGTGGTTCAGCCAGTCGTCCGACACTCATGGTAAATCCTGTGGTTTCCCTTCAGTGTTCTCTAGCTCTTGTGTATATATATGTGTTTGTGTGTGTGTGTGTGTGTGTGTGTGTGTGTAGGATGCTCAAATTAATATGATACAGAAAAAAAAATGTTTTCAGTCAATAGAGTTTTCCTTTAGAAAAAATGTAAAAGAGTTTAGTTAACTTTGTTTTCATTATACACATTACACACATAACAGACATAACACCATAAATATAAAAGATAAGTAAAAAACAAACTACCTTTATATTAACTGGAAAGGAAAGTTAAATAAGCAAAACACATAGAATAAGTAAAAGACTAAGAACAAAAAATTCCTTACAGTAATTGCCTTGTTGTTGCCTTTTGTTCCATCTTGCAAGCAAAAAAGTAAATCATGAACTTTACTTCTGTCTATCAGTGAAGAATCATTGAACTGTTCTTCACAAATACCCTATATTATTGGTGAAAAGTCTGGTACTTAGAACGAGGAAATTCATCCAAAAGGTAAGCAGCAGTGGCCTTAAAATTCCAACTGGAGCATCCTAAATGACTGCTGAGCGAATGTATGTGTTGATGTGTACAGCCTAATGTAATACCTCATCACTTTGTGCTTTACTATTGTGTTTAACCCGTTGAGTCCGAGCATCACAACCTTTTTCAGTTTTTGTTTTCTCCTTTTTTCCCTCCCTGTTTTGCTTTACTGGTTCTAAATTTAAAAAAAAAACGTTGTTTACCCATTAAATTAGTCTGTTGATATGGGATAAATAGAAAGAAAGATACATAAAATACAGTTACGTTTGATACGCCCCGTTTCCTTCCCATGTCCCATTTCAAAAGCAGGGGCTCAGTGTGAATATAGGAAACAGGGCTAAACCCAGATCACTACTCCAGCAGTCAGCACTATTTTCAGAGCTGTCCGACCACTCAGGAATCAAAGCCAACACGTCTACATAAGCTAAGCAGCAGCACACACCGTGCTCCCTCGTATGAGTTAGAGCACTGAGATGTTTCACACAGTTAATCATCATCCGTCTGCACAGACAGAAAGCGCTGGCAGTACTTTGAGTGTAGCATTTCAGAGACAGCTTTAAGAGCTCTGTCCTCCTTGGCCTGCTCCCTTCTTCCCTCTGCTCCTCATTGTGTGCATCAGTCAACCCTCGTAGAGCAGCTGTCCACTCGCCTGTCCCATGTCAGCTCCCTTTCAGCACTTGGTAAATGATACTAATGATGACAGTGACGCACAGCCACAGCGCTTAGCTCCTTTCTGTGAGGGTGAAAGTTTTGTTGCTTTTTGTGGCTTTGGAGATGAAAATTAAATCATTTTCTTCTTTTAAAATTACTATAAAACAATTGCGATGCACTTGGATATAGTTTTTGGAGTGTAGTCTTTTTTTCTTTTTTGCTGATTTGTAAAGTATATTCGTTTAGTGTATCTTCATTATGCATTTTGAAGAATTGCCTGTCAGAATTGCCTGATGTGATGCAGGCACATTTTGGACTTCTTCCCCCTGGGATGCACTGTACTATGACTATGTTTTATCTGAAGAATATTGTGCCACTGCAAAGTGCATGTGATTATATTTTTGTAATGTCTGCTTTATTTGCTGCTGCAGCGAGCGTTCCAGCCAGCGAAACTGAATCTGTGAACACCGAGAATCAAAACGGGGAGGATGAAAAGACGCCGTGCTGCGGACCTCTGTGGTGAGAACGAACAGCACTTCGCACAACAAACCTTTTCAAAAACGAGACCACTGTTATTACTTTAAATTACAGCACATCAGATCGCTGTCCCTCCTGGTGTGACCGTTGATACAGAGTTTTAAAAAACATCCGTCTCTCACACCACAGGCTCTTAGTACAGCCATTGGCACATTTTATCTTTTAAGTGCTACTTTTTTTACTGTTTGATTTGTGGTAAAAGAAAAATGGTCAAATTATTAAAGCACACACTGCAACTCACTCTCATGTTTATATTGTCTTTCTACTCTGTAATGCTGCTGACTTTTGCAGTTGGACACGCTTTTATGCTGCTGCTACGTGCATTTGTAAACTTTGACTAATTCTTCTCTCTTCCAGTCAAAAAATTTCAAAGTCAAAGTTCAGGTCAGTATATTTGTGGGTCTGTGTCTCTGCATGATGCGTATTGCTTATTACTCCAGGGTCTGTGCCTGCATTAGATTATACAGATTTTTATTTGTAAGTGCTTGGCTTTCATTTTGCTGTATTTTAATGAGACTTTACAGGGGATGATAAATCAACCGCTTTTATAAAGTCAGCATGTACCATAAGGTATTTTTAGAGAATAGTCCTACGCAGTATTTTTCAGCTCATTTACTGTACAGTATGACTTGCAAAAAATATATTGATGCAGTCCCCCTGTGGCCGTTCCCCCTCACTCCTCTGCACTCTTCTTCTTATTAATGGAAATGAACCGTAGTGATTTCCTTAAAAACTTAGGTGAGGTATTTATTCTATTATTTAGACGCTATAATCTATGTGACCAGATACTGTGTTCTTCTACATCAGTTTATAAGCAAAGTGAGTCACACTAGCATTATTCTTTGGACTGATCTCGTGCCTCCCTCCTGCAGTCGGCGCTGGCGCCGCTGGAACAGGTTCTGCCGCAGAAAGTGCCGGTTGGCCGTCAAATCGGTGCCTTTCTATTGGCTTGTCATCATCCTGGTGTTCCTCAACACTCTCACCATATCATCAGAGCATTACAACCAGCCTATGTGGCTGACACAAGTGCAGGGTATGAACTTCCACAGTACACTTCAAAGTCATTGTGTATTTCATTAGCTTGTAGAATATCAGAGACATATTAACAAATTAAATTAAATTAGGCAGAAATGTCAACTATGAGGAGAACCAGAATTTTAAAAGGATTTTCCAATATTGTATCATGATGATTTTCACTAGTTTCTCATGAATGCATCACTTATTTGAAAAATGTATTATGTATCTCATCACAGATCCAGAATCAAATAAAAGTTTAATGAATACATTACAATTAAAATATGTGTAAACATTTATGTAGTTTATATTTATTAATAAGTATAGTAAGTGATTTTTTAGTTTAGTGATTAAATTTGAGCTGCCATGGCAGAAGTTTACCATCTATGAGTGTTTTAAATAATTCTGTACATCATATCTTTTGTAGCAAAAAACCTCTACGCTCTCACCCTAAATCTCTCTCTCCATTTATTTGTGTTTTCTTAATGTTCAGTCTTTTTCTCTGGGTTTCAGATGTGGCCAACAAGGTGCTGCTAGCCCTGTTCACATGTGAAATGTTGGTGAAGATGTACAGTCTTGGGCTACAGGCCTATTTTGTTTCACTGTTCAACCGCTTTGACTGCTTTGTGGTGTGCGGAGGAATCACTGAAACCATTCTGGTCGAGCTGGAAATCATGTCTCCCCTCGGTATTTCTGTGTTCCGCTGCGTCCGCCTGCTGAGGATCTTCAAGGTCACACGGTAAGACTGTTATGCTGCGTTTGTGTGTGTGTGTGTGTGGTGTTCAATGAATCACCTGTCCCTCTACTGCTCCATGTTTCTTTATAGCCACTGGCAGTCTCTAAGTAACCTGGTGGCGTCTCTGCTCAACTCCATGAAGTCCATCGCTTCCCTGCTGCTGCTGCTCTTCCTCTTCATCATCATCTTCTCCTTGCTGGGCATGCAGGTGTTTGGGGGAAAGTTCAACTTTGACGAGACCCAGACCAAGAGGAGCACCTTTGACAACTTTCCCCAAGCCCTTCTCACTGTGTTTCAGGTATTTACAGACTGATATACAGTTCAGATCACGACATACAGTAACTCGACATCACCGTCACAAGCTGCAGCATTTGTCCATTGGTGCGTTCGGTGGAAAATACATTGAAAATGCAGAAAAAATAGAAAAGATGGAGGTTTTACAGGCTGTTGAAGGCTTAAGGGAAGATAAATAGATCAATGAATCAACCAGGCTTTTATATTGGCCGATATTAGCCTACCGATGTATCAGTATCTATTCGCTAAGCAGTGTTAGTCTAGTTACAAATTTTTTTTAAATCATTACTCATTGCTCTTAATGATTGTATTACTTTGGTTATTACTCCCTAAAAACAGTAATTAGTTACACTATTAATTATATTACTTTTCTGCTACTGCCCCAAAAATTGGTCCCCAACCAAAGTAACTAATAATTTTTGGGGGGNNTAATATTATGATTATGATTTTTATTAGTGATTAGTTACACTACTAGTTACTGCCTAGTCCTTTCAATAAGTATTGAGAAATTCTAGTACAGAAACTATTTTGAGGTCATTCAAAAACAAGAGACAGGAAAACAGGGGTGCGAGTGAGAGGCGATGTCATGGTTCAAAGGGTCACAGGCTGGAATAGAAACCGGGCCACTGCAGCAACAACTCAGCCGTAGTACATGGGGTCCGAGATCAGATGAGCTCCTGGGACGCCCCCGAGCAATGATTAGTTGATTTTTCAACTGTAAAATTATTCATTAAATTAAAAACAAATCTGTGGTATCTGACTTAAGATTGAACTGTTGGCAGATATATCAGATCTTTTAAATTCCCAAATATTGATGAATGGGCATCAGTGGCGGTTGGGAAGGTAATATCACGTGAAAAAGTGTCAACACATACCCTCTATAATCACTTAAGCCTGACACACAAGCGTTGATGCACTTCCATATCATGATGAATTTTAGATCCTGACTGGAGAAGACTGGAACGCCGTTATGTATGACGGGATTATGGCGTACGGAGGCCCTTCCTCTTCTGGGATGATCGTGTGCTTTTACTTCATCATCCTCTTCATCTGTGGAAACTGTATCCTCTGTGACTGATACAAAGACACTTAAAACTGCTGAAACAGCAAATTCATGAGTGAACCTACATTCATCATTTGATGTATATAAAATATAAACCCTGCTTTTATGGAGAGAGTTGCTCTTAACTGAACACTTTGCTCAGATATCCTCCTGAATGTCTTCTTGGCTATCGCTGTGGACAACTTGGCAGATGCAGAGTCTCTCAACACAGACGAAGGAGACAAGAAAGGGTGACATCTTGATCTCCTTCTATGTTTCTCTGTGACGAATATCCTTTTAAATGTTAGTTTTTTTTATGTTTGCTCAAACTCTATCATATATAACAATATCTCTGTTCATTACAGGGACAAAAAGGATGATGAGAAAGATGAAAAGGTATCCTTATCTATCATTCAGTATCATACAGTATCTTTACAGTTTGAAGACTTAAATACACTGACACATTTCTACTTGTCTGTAAGGAGGAAGAGGAGGAAATTGACGACACTGCGGCGGAGGAGGAGGATCCAGAAGTTCCATCGGGGCCTCGGCCGGTCATCTCTGAACTGGTAAAGAAGGAGAAGATCACTCCAATCCCGGAAGGAAGCGCCTTCTTCATCTTCAGCAGCACAAACCCGTACGGGACATGCACACATCATTGCTCACTTTACAAATATGGACACACACACACAAACACACATACAGGTTGTGCCTTATATCACACGTTGATGTTCTCTGGCTGTGTTGTGTTTCCTTTGTCCTCCAGGTTTCGCGTGTTTTGCCACAGACTCATCAATCATCACATATTCACCAACCTCATCCTGGTGTTCATCATGCTCAGCTCTGCCTCACTCGCTGCTGAGGATCCTATCCGAAACTTCTCGGCTCGCAATATTGTAAGTCGAAAAGCCTTAAAATGATTTATGGCTTCTAACAGACTGTGTAGCAAAGATAAGTGGATGAAGTGACTTTGTTATTAAATTAGTTTTCGGTGTAGTTTAGTATTTAGAGATAATTAATTGGCCCTTAAAATGACCATACTGGTGGTTTTGCATGTTTTAGCCCATTTATTATAACATACTTTTACTTACTTGATTTTTCCAAAGCATACAACACCTGAGTTTATGTTTCAGTAACAGTTTAATCAGTTAAAATAATTTGATATTGTTGCTGTTGGCCAGAAACCTTGTATGTCCAAAACAGGAAACACTTTTCAGGAAATGTTTTTACAGTAATTGAACACTACATAGTCAAAGTTGGTATTGTTGGTTTTTACTACTTTTTCATGGTTTAATTTTTCTTAAAACCCACTGACAGACGTAAATGGAGACCAATAACATTGTGTCTTAGATTCTGATCTCTACCAATCTGCCCATAAATCCCAGATTTTGTTTCTGTTTCTATTTTTGTCCACTGTTACTGTTCCCCTTTACACTATCAAGAAGGCAAAGGAGAAAAGGGGAGAAAGAGATTGTTAAGAAAGAGAAAATCTAGAGAGTTTATTTTCCTTGTTCAACATCTATGTCGACTATCCTGCCCTTGACAACACATTTAACACATTTTGCCATTTATTTTCTAAAACATACATCCAAGTGTAATTGCCAGGACAAAAACTGTTCCAGTCAGGACATGGCAATAAGTGCCTGAATATATATACGGGCTGTCCTTTGTTAATGGTGACATCTGGTGAACCTGCTCATGTTGGTCTGTTCCAGCCTTTTCCAGAGTTAGGGGTTTGCTACTCAACCTTTTAAATCCAATAAACAACAGCACAACATTCACATTATCTTCTTGACAATGTTGTTTGTCCCTTGGAATAGTTTTTTCCAGCAACATAGCTTATGGATGCAATGCTTTTAGCAGCTGACTCATACATCACAGATGTCAGAGTGTCCTTAAATGCACCGTAAAGCAGAGTTTTTAAAAAGGTTGCCTGTATTAACTTGTTGAAGACACAGCTTAAACTTAAAAAACTGAAGGCAATTACTTTTTCACAGTGATGTATGTCAAGCTAGAGTCAGGTGTCTGCACACTGATTTTTGTACTGTGCTGAAATTAAATGAACCCCACCTTACTTTCTGGAAGGTTTAAACTTACGGTACATTTTGTTTGGCAATGCAGTTATTACTTTATGAGCTAAAACAGGCAAAAACACTGGTGCAGTCTTGTAAAGTAAACAATCAGCCAGAGATCTTCAGGGCTGTTCATTCAGTTCATTGTACTGATTTTATACCGCAAAAGAAATGAGTCATGAAATCATCTTTTGCACTTTATGAACTAGTCGGTGGATACTTTTTGCACATACTGTAATTATAATTCACTGTGTATACTCTAACAAACTCTTTCCAGAAAAAGCTTCAAATGTTTTTTTTTCATTCATCTTGTTTACATATGATGTATGAAGCTGCACAATGAACTGTCTTTGTTAAACATGTACGTTGCTTTTTGCAGATACTTGGTTACTTTGACTATGCTTTCACGGCTATCTTTACTGTTGAGATCGTTTTGAAGGTAAATGCCCTGTGTCCCCTGTCCGTGCTGTGACTAACCTCACCCCAATAACACTCCAAACGTCTCGTTGCCTTCCAGGTCCTAGGCTATGCAGATTATGTCTTCACTAGTATGTTTACATTTGAGATCGTATTGAAGGTAACCCCTTAAATGACAACGAGAGCCTTGCTGCATTCTCTCCTTGTGTGTCACCTGCCACTCAGTACAACCTGGCTTGTTTGTTTCCTTTCTCTTATTTACTTTTTTCTTCATGGCACCTCTTTTAAAAAGCAAAGAAACAAATAAAAAACAATATTGGAATTGCTACTTTGCACACACTAACACAAACACAAGGTTTGTTCAAATTACACTAATCAAAGAATTCATGTTGGGGGAAGGAAACATCACATCAGCATTACATTATAATCACATGGGTGTCACGTCATTCGGGCAGTCATCGCTGAAATGATTTTGATGATGCAGATATGTAAAACATGATGCAACCCTTTGTGCAATGCAACACATTTTAATGGGCTGTTCAGACATTGTAAAGGCATTGGCTGAAGTTGAGTTTGAGGTCATCTTCAGGGAGGTGTTTCGAAAGACGTAAAGTCAGCTCCAGCCAAAGCTAACTCCATGCCTCTTCGTACTGACTGCTCTTCAGATTATCCATAAAAGAGGGGGCAAAACCAACCATGTTCCTGCCGAGCATGGTTTAGTCTGCTTTCCCTGACTGAGTGCATAGAAATGTGGAGTTGAGCCTGCAGCCATTAGTGGCAAAAACATGCCAAGTCCGTCCTGTTTTTACTAAAAGATCTTCAATGCTCCTAGTTAGCACTCTCATCTCTCCGTCTCTTTGCAAGGCTCCACATTTACATGCACTTGGAAAATGAATCCTTTACTTTTATTATTTGAAGAAGAGTTATTTTGGCTGGTTTTTCTTCTCTGCCTGCTGAACTGAAAGTTTTAATTGGGAGCTGCTTCCCCTTATTCTGAACTATTAAAGAACATAATGGAATGTGCTTTAAGAAGACGGTCCACATGAATGTGACAGTAAGGCCATTTTTACTTTCCAATCACTATAACTAGAGCTCTTGCAGGTAGTAAATATCCCTGACCTTATGGCAACAAAATGCATGTTTTATTGCCTCATTCCATAGTAGATTGTGAAATAAATGACTTACTACTACATTCATGTAGTTAAGGGCCGTAGGGGTGGCGATGGTAGATTTAGCCTCCTGTTTTACTGCTCTAAGCTCGCCACCCCGAATCAGAGTGATCTAAAAGAGTGTGGAGACGTGTGCGTGTGTGTGCAAGGTTGAGAGTGCTGTGTGTGAGCATATGTTTCTCCTATTTAACATGTTTGTACTGTTACGTGTCTGTGTCCTCTGAAGTGTGGAGCGTAAGTGTAACTCTCTGTTTGTGTGTGTCTAGTGTGCGTCGGTTGAAATATGTGTTTTTCATCTTTGTCATTTGCTCCTCTAACTTCCTTTGTCCTCTCATCAGATGACGACATACGGAGCCTTCCTCCATAAAGGAGCATTCTGTAGGAATTACTTCAACCTCCTGGACCTGCTGGTGGTGGGAGTGTCCCTCGTCTCCTTTGGCATCCAGTGAGTACAATCAGTACTTAACAGTTCACTCTCTTTGTTCTCCCGATCGCCGCTTCCTCTCAGTCTTATAGTCACTCATTCATTGCTCTCTCTCTCTCTCTGTCTCTTTCTTTTTAGATAAGTCAGGAAGCCAACAACATAACTTTTTCAGTGAACATTACAAGAAATGTCCCACCAGGGTCCTAGTATTGATTCTAGTTGTTCTTTGTTGTGTGAATAAAGCTGTAAAAAGGTTGTAGCAGCCCCAAGTTTTGTTTTTGAATAGTCAGCAATTGTGATGGTTCTGCAAACTCAACCCCTTCAAAAAGTACTAACCCCCGAGCAGGGACTTTTCTGGCTACAAGAACTATGGCAGAAAAACTAAATTTAGTTCCTGGATCGTATGGTCGAATAGTAAGCAAGTTCATGAGTTTAGCTGGTTGCTGGCCTCAGGGAAAAGTTCCTGCAGCGAAAAATAACTGTTTGTCATTCCTTTTTCCTGTAACATATTGCTTTTAGACTGACACTGCACCGATTTGTTTTCATTCAGGTCCTCGGCCATCTCAGTGGTGAAGATTCTTAGGGTCCTTCGTGTTCTTCGACCCCTGAGGGCCATCAACCGAGCCAAAGGCCTAAAGGTGAGACCTCATTACAAAGTCATCCAGCAGCTTGTTTGCAACAATAACCACAATCTTAGACTTCTCTCCTACTTCTCCAGTATGGATTCCACAATGTGTAAACATATGTATGTCTCTGTCCTACAGCACGTGGTGCAGTGTGTGTTTGTGGCCATCAGAACTATCGGTAACATCATGATCGTCACCACTCTGCTCCAGTTCATGTTCGCCTGTATAGGGGTGCAGCTGTTTAAGGTCAGCAGCACTGAGCTTGAAAATATCTCTATTACACATGAAGCCAGAGATATTTGGGTAATATTTTTTAAATATCTGTCATCAGAGTGAAAATGTTTTGTTTTTCTCCACAGGGAAAGTTCTATCGCTGCACAGATGAAGCCAAGTCTAGCCCAGAAGAGTGCAAGTTAGTTTTACTCGTCTTCTTCTTTCACGGCAAAATTACTTGCAGTTATCATCCTAGTTTCAGGCTTAACCTCCATGCAACATGCCATTTTCTCACAGGGGCACGTACATCCTGTATAAAGATGGAGATGTGAACCAGCCAACCATACACAAAAGATTGTGGCACAACAGCGACTTCAACTTTGACAACGTCCTCATGGCTATGATGGCTCTGTTCACTGTGTCCACTTTTGAAGGCTGGCCTGCGTAAGATTCAAACTTTTTAATATTATCAACAACATTTTAAAAAGTTGAAAAATAAAAGCTCAAAACTCAGAGTGTAATTTAATGTAATGAGAGAACACTGATAAAACACTGATGATATCTGGTTTAGTGAAACTGGATAACGTGCTTTTTGTTTTCTTCTCTTCTCAGGTTACTATACAAGGCAATAGACTCCAACAGGGAGAACCTCGGTCCCATTTACAACTACCGCGTGGAGATTTCCATCTTCTTCATCATCTACATCATCATCATTGCTTTCTTTATGATGAACATCTTTGTAGGTTTTGTGATCGTCACATTTCAGGAACAAGGAGAGAAAGAGTACAAAAACTGTGAACTGGATAAGAACCAGGTCAGAGTCAGAAGGTTCACGAAATATATGTGTAGTATATTTATAGCAATGTGTTTGTGTGATCAAAACTAACTAACTAATTTAAAATATACTGCTATAATATGCTATACTGTGCACTGAAAATGCATAATATGTTTTTTCTGAGTCTTATTTATAGAGTAAGAAGACTTATTCACAGAAAAACTAATTGTGTCTCATATAAATAGTCTATGTTGGATTCAAATGAGAGCATCAAGTGTGTTTTTGTATATTTCTATGCAGCGTCAGTGTGTGGAGTACGCTCTTAAGGCACGTCCTCTGAGGAGATACATCCCTAAGAACCCGTACCAGTACAAGTTCTGGTATGTGGTGAACTCCACTGGGTTTGAGTACATCATGTTTGTGCTCATCATGCTCAACACACTCTGCCTGGCTGTGCAGGTAAGAAGTCGCTGTATTTACACTACTGAGATCAACCACACCTGACAGCAAGGATTATTCAGTAGTAATAGTTTGACACAAAAGTGGACATCAGGTATATTTACAAGTTAGGGCTAACACTAACCCCCTCCCATTTTGGTTGTTATAGTCAATATAAAAGTCCTAAATATGTCAACATATGTGGACACATCAACTATTTTGCAGATTATCTATAGAGTATATGTGACAATTCATGAACATACTCTAACCAAGATGTTTTTTATGCCTAACCAAACCTTAATCATGTTGGTGTAATATCATAAAACTGTTGCTGAATCTCAGCTAATAAGCAGCTGAAATATTACAAATACTCTGTATACTGTATACTGGACTATCCAAATATAGTGTTACCGTATATATACTGTAAACAGTATCAAGTTCACTAATCTACATTAAAGTAACAAACGTGGGTCTGAGTGCAGTGATATAATATTTTTTAGTAGAGATTAATTTGTTTCTAAGAATGTTATTTTTGCCAGTTTTCTATCTGCCTAATATTCTTTACTTCAGTTCACTGCAGTATTTGTCCATGCACTATGTGAACAATTTTATAGTTTTTGACTTTTACACCCCCCAGTGGTATTTTAAAAAAAGACACAATGGTAGACATAAGTGCAAGCAGAACCAGGGACAAGGAGATAAATGGACTGAAATCAACATGTACATCAACAATTCTTTTATTTTTATTTTTAATGCTATTTCTTGATTTTTTAACAATTTTCTTGTGCAAACTTCTTACTTATTTTTTCATCTTTCTGACCAGAATCTTTGTTTAATCTAAAATGAGTAAATTGCATATATTAAAATAACAGCAGCTCCCTTTTCTTGAGTTTTCTTATATTGGCCCTTTTTATCTCTTCTTTGCAGCACTATGGCCAATCAGCTCTCTTTAACTATGTAATGGACATTCTTAATATGGTCTTCACTGCTGTCTTCACTGTGGAAATGGTTCTCAAACTCATCGCTTTCAAACCCAGGGTGAGTGGCCCCGCAAACGTCTTCACAGGCAGCCACTTCCACCAGAGCACAAACACACAGTAACTCAAATAGAGTCTGAAGTTTGAATGACACACACACACAAATGTCCTACTTTAATATACATGTGTTGATACAGTTTAATTTATTAAAGGTGTATTTTGAGAAAACTGCAGAGACTTAAGTGAGAAGATCAATAGCCGTCTGTTAAAAATGAATCTACAGCCAAATAAGCATAGCACAAAGATTGGAAACAAGGGGAAACAGGAAATCACAACGCCAAAAAATAGTCTAGCACATAAGCGCTGTAAATGCCTTTATGGATTTTGTTACCTTTGCACAGAGCCAGACAAGCTGTCTCAGTTTCCAGTCTTTCTGCTAAGCAACGCTAACCATGTCCTGGTTATAGCTTCATATTTAGTGGACAGATGGGAGTGGTACCAATCTGGTCATCCAACTATTGAACTTGAACTATTTCTTAAATCTTTAAGAACGGAGTAGCATATGTCGTGAACGTGTGAAAATGGATGAGTCAGTGAATGTTTTTTTTCATTTTACCCTAAACTGCTCTGCCCAACAGTGTTGTGTTGAGAAGAAGGACAGGATGCTAGTAAGAGACGGAGTGTGGGGTGCAGTGCTGACTTCTTTTCTTCTTGTTTTTTTTGCACTTACTCTTTGTTTTCTCTCAAGTTTTTGGCAGCAGTCTTTTGCATGTAATATTAGTATAGTATCAGGTTGGGGCAGATCCTTAACCACAATCTGTCTAAATCAGTGCAATCAGTGCCTCCCTTACCAGAATAAGTCTATATCAATATCAGTGTTCAATTAAAGACTTTTTGTTTGTGCTGATCTCACACCCAACTTGCCCACCGCTCACTCCACCTCACTCAGGGCTATTTTGGGGATGCCTGGAATGTGTTCGACGCCCTGGTTGTGATTGGCAGCATAGTAGATATTGTTCTCAGTGAGATCGATGTAAGTAAGCTCAACTACAACGATTCCCGCTGCTCTCTGACCTCTCTCTTTTTGGGCCACCTCGGTTCACACTGCTGGTTTCCATGGCAGGACTTCTGGCTTTTGTCTGCTCGCTCTTAATACTTTATCTCCTTTTTTCTCTCTCTCTTTGTCCTCCCATGACCCTGCCATTTCATTAAATCCTTTGACTCATTCCCTCTTTACCTTCCACTTTTCCCTGTTCATCTGCCTGATTCTGTTCCCCTCTCCTCCTCTTCACGCCCTCTCTCTTTCATTCTCTCTCTCTTTCATTCCCATCTTTACCCTTTCATGTTACACCATGCATTATAACAGCACTATTTCGCTGATGCTTGGAACACATTTGATGCCTTAATTGTTGTTGGTAGCGTCGTCGATATCGCTATCACTGAAGTTAATGTAAGTACTACTTTTTTCTGCCTCACCATGTTAAACTGAAGCCTTACAGGAAATCCACATGGCAGCTGCCAGAATTATATGTTGAAATTTAGTAGTGCAGTAGTTCTCAACCTTTTTCTTTTGAGGACCCTGAAATGAAGCAATGTCTACTTGACCCTCTTGGCAGGAGTTGAAAGCAGATCAATTTATATATTTTATTCTAAAGCCCTTCAAAAAATGAGAAAGAATTTAAAAAACAACATCATTTTATTACGTATTTAATAATCCTATGACCCCTTAGACTTTAATTTGGAACCTCTTGTGGGAACCACTTCCCTAGTGTATTCAGTTGTAGCCTCCATTTTAAAATGTTATCCGCTAAACTCTATCTATAACTGATATCTATCATGATACCTAGCTTGCTAAAACTTTGAATTATTTTTGGAATGACATTCTTAGTTGTGAAAGTGCCATTGTCTTATTCTGTAAAGCTTCAGTTTGACCTTCATTTATGTCCTGTTGTTATTAGTGCTATATCCACAGTACAATGAGTTAATCGAATAGTCGATGTCTTGTTGACACTTTGTTTCTGCTAAATGTTTTATTGTCAATGTGTTGCAGTAGTGTTTGTTGCGGGAATCTTGACAAAAATTGTCTGAACATGCTGATTGTTATCCCTTGGACGTGGCAGTGAAAATAAGTGTCAAAAACAGGAGTCTCTCACATTTCTTTGTGAACTGAGGCCTGTATTTGGTTCAGATTAGGATGATTTATGATATGGTTGTCTAATTCTTACTCTTGTTCGTTTTGTTTCCATAGAAACTTGTAGAGGCAAGTATGGCAATGAACAAAAATGTTTTCTGTGTGTAACCTGTTGTGTATAACAACTTTATCTTCGGGACCCCTTTACAGTGGATTAAAAACTAAATTGGTCATCTAATAGATTTTTAAAAAATGATTTTTTTAATTTTGTAGTACAGTAAGACATTATTTTAATTGAAACCTTATTTTAGTATTGATTAAAGTCAGCCGGTTGCTTTGAAAATTCATGTCAAGTCTCGATAAAATAGTGGATTACTACTTCTTTATGTTAACCAACTACAAAAACAGTCTTCTCTTTATAGGCTTGGCTCTTCACAAAAACACCTAAAACAAAGACAAAATGTCTGTGACCTACTTTGTTGTGCTGTGCCTTGAGTTTAACTTATACAAAAATGGTCATCAGAACTGTAGTTCAAGATGCAAACATACACTAGGAATGCTATGAGACCAAATCTCAAGTTGCTGAGGAATAGTTATGGTGATGATGGTGCTTGTTAGGGGTGCAGTGTACCAAACACTCACCACTCAACCTGCCCCTACGTCCCCCTCCTGAGTGCTCTCACGTGTGAGCTGCAGTGCTGTTTTTCTGGAGTTATATTTCATGTTTTCTGTGTTTTCTCAGTTTCTGTTCCAAAATGTGTGTCTGCATGAGTGTATAAACAAGCACTAACTTTGTTTAAAACATGCGGTGGTGGTGTGTGTAGGTTATTATTGTTATGCATGTGTGTTTTACATGTTTACAGTTTGTACTTTAAGGTGTGCTGTATGTATGAATGTACGTGCGTTGTGAATGTTGGGGACATGAAGTCGATTTCACAAGGGCTTTCATAGTGGTTCTTGTGAGGCACCTTTTATCCATCATTTACATTTATTTGTGGTTTGCATGTGCTTGTTGCTGTTTGTGTCATACAGCAGATATTCAACTTTATTCATTTAATCATCCGTAATAGCTGATCTACAACAAGCTTGCTTTTAATGTATTGTTCTTTGTTACTTGCTTGCCATTCCAGTCATGAGCTGTGTGATTTTTAAATTTTTTTAAACTAACCACTGTGATGCATGCTGGGAAGCATCAACCATTCACGCCATTCCCTAACATCCTTTCCATGTCCCGCCTCTCACAGATGGCGCTTGGCCACCCACTTCATTCCCCTCCGGTCAGTTTATTCCATAGAGCCTTGTGAAGTTTGCCCTTTCTCTCTTGCCATACCCCTTGACCTTTACCTCCAGACAGAATGGCCCTGGAGCTCAGAGCTTGGAAATGTCCATTCTACACAACATTAAGGACAATTGTAATGCAGAATCTGTCAAACACAATCAATGCTTGAAAAGCTGAAAATCTGAGATTCTTAGGAAATGTTGTTTTTTCTTTTCCTTAAAGTTGTGTAGTTGTGCAGCTTCAGATGGCTGATTTAATGCATCAATATTAGGTAAAACAGATGGATAGAAATAGAAGCTTTTGAGAGCAACTAAAACTTAGATTAAGCTTTAGCTACAGTCCTCAAATTAAAATAAAAGTCTGAGCATCCCTTGACTAAACAGTTTTCAGGTAAGAATCTGTGAACTGAAAATTCATCAGCGGATCGGAAGACCCTTAACTAGTCCTTATCTTTGTACATTTACACTGATGGTGGTTTAATGCAGCTGAGTTTGAGGTTCTTTGATGATCTTGTGTTTGTGTCTCTGTGAGTGATTGTCTCTGTGTTTTGTTCTGTCTTCCTGTAGTGAGCTCTTAAAGCTCAGAATGGAGCTCATGTGTAGCGCAGGTGTGTAGACTCCAGTCAGGTGCATGAACACTCCCAACAGTAACTCTACTCTCTTCCCTCTTTACACCTCTCTGCCTTTCCTATTTCAGTACGACTCAATCTGTCTTGCTTTATTTTCTATCCCAGTAGTGGTCTCTATCTCTGGTTTCCTCCTCCTGTTTCTCTCACCTTTCCTGTCGTTCATTCACCTCTTTCTGCACCGGACTGTGAGAGTGCCCTGCTATGGCAGTTTTGTTGCAGGGCACTACTGACATGCATGAGTTGCTGCATTGCTATGAGTTCACCAATGGCTCCTCATCACCCAAATGTCTTGCGTATGCGTGCAGTGCTTCCCCAGCAACGTGGCAATGCTGAACGCATGCTTCATCAACGCTGTGGCCAGGATTACCTAAAGAACCTCCTCAAGCTAATTCTACATTTTTATAATTTCTGCTCATTCTGCACTCATACTGACGGTTTGTCAAGTATTGCACTGAGGGATTTGAATGAAGCCATATCTGTCTGGAGTATCTCTTTTGCTTTAAGTGCTGAGCCTTCTGATATGACTCTTTTCAGTGTTGAGTTAATCTCATCCTTTTGCAAAAATCATATTGTCATTATACAGGATGTGTCTAACCACCACCACTATGATTGATGTTGCTATTTTATTTTGCACCTGGACTTTCTCTGTGTACAAATGCTCACTGAATACTGCTGATATTCTATAATTTATTGTTAATGAGATAAATTGCAGACAATAACTGTGTATGGGTGTGGATTTGTGTGAGCGACTATCAGATTATTTTATTACGCTCAATTTTTCAAGCATTTTCATTTCAGCCACTAAAAAACATACATACACACTTTACATAAAACCATTACAACACAGAGGAGAGTGAGGTTGCAGCTGTCTTACTATACATGTACTCCAATCCTTTAATGGTGCCATTAATGATGCACACAATGTATGATTTTCATATGTTGATGTGCACTTGAATCTGAATCCTAAATGTTGAAATACAGGAAAAACAAATAATTAGTTAAGAGTCGAGGCTCTCTAAGAATAGCAGATGGCGCTTTTATCATGACATGAATTCATAACACATTTGTTATGTTAATCAGTTAACTTCTCATTAACATTGTCTAAGACAATCTCAGCCATACAATCCATTTAAACCCATCAGTAATGACCATCACACCGGGGGAGTGATAAAGTTGTGTGCCAGTCTTACATGTGACTAAGTAATTAAGTAATTTCATGTTGTTCGTCAGTCTGACATGCAATTGTTGAGTCCTGCGTAGAGAATGTTAAGCTGTAAACCTGTTGTGTGGCAGTCTTTTAAAGTGTTAAGATAATGTTTTATGCCTGTCATTATATTAAGCGCACATAGACAGTGATACATGAATGTCTGTCTTTGTCATAGTGAAACAATAAGACAGTTTTGTCCCGTGAATGAGAAGAGTAGTGACTTTGTTCTGTCTACGTCTTGACTGAGCCTTTTCAAATGTAATGTTTACGTGTTTGGCCCAATGTGTGTGAGACCTGTGGGCTCTGTACAAGTCATTAATACAGGTCTTTGATTTTAAAGCCAACGGAGACTCCTCAGGTGGATGAGCAGGGGGTAAGATGCTCCGCCCTCCCCCTTCAGGGCCATGCCATGTTTAGATCTGCATCTGTTTGTTTTTGTTTTTTCTGTTGTCTACATCTCCTATGATCTACTGCTTATTTCTATTTTATTTATTTTCTCATCTTGAGGTTTCCATTCTTTATATTTTAATTTTCTTTCTCCTGTTTGTTTGGTTTGGTCATTTGCATATATTCTCAAAAAACAAAAAAAAATGCTTTTCATTTTCCTAAATGTTTGGAGTTATTTCTAAGGAGAGTGTGTCACTCAAACGTGACGCTGTGTGTCCTGATAGGTGGGAGTGTTATAGGGCCGCTCCTCACGTTTGTACTGTTGACACTGCTACATGGTCTCTGCCACCAATCTTGCGTGGGGTAGTGACCCATGGATGACCCCTAGAATCAGGTCACCCAGCTGTGACCTGTGAACCTCCTGGCCGACCCGTTCGGGTTGGCCCCACTGTGACTCCGCATGCAGTGACTCTGGACTGAGGGGGCCATGCTTGTGCAGATGTGTCCTGTCAAGTATGGCAAGGTTTTCTCCAGCATGCTTGCCTCCTTGCTTCCTCCCCTGTAGGTCTGTACAGTGACAGGGCTCCTGACAGTGCTTTGGACTCAGACTAACAGAAACATATCAGCTGTAGCTACACTGCTTTAGTGACTCTGCCTAATTATGTTTTGACCAGACATTCAAGTCAAAAATCCACAGCTTTTCTCTATGCTGTATAAAAAAATTGCACTCTTATAATAGATGTTGCCACCACAAAAAAAAACCTAATATATGCTCAACATTCAATCTATGCTCTAAATATGTAATTTTCAATTCCCTAAAGTTGCAGTGCTGCCTTCTCAGCCCATATGTATCTGACTCCCGGCGTCTCTGTTCAGACCTCATCATCCTGTAAAGCACAGCCAGGTGCTCTGTGTTCACTACATACACTGCTGCCTTCCTGGCCTCTGACTCTAGACTGTTTCTCCACAGAACACGGAGGACAGTGCTCGCATCTCTATCACCTTCTTTCGTCTGTTTCGAGTCATGCGGCTGGTCAAGCTCCTCAGCAGAGGGGAGGGCATTCGCACCCTGCTTTGGACTTTCATCAAATCCTTCCAGGTGAGGCGTAGTACAATTATCTGATCAGTGACTGACAGAAATGTTAAAGTCACTTATATTAATCTTCTTTCCTTCCTCTTTTCTGCCTGAAGGCTCTGCCATATGTTGCTCTTCTGATAGCCATGCTGTTCTTCATCTACGCTGTGATTGGAATGCAGGTTGGTAACTAAACTTGCCAGAAAATATGATTCCTCTGTCTTACCTGAGTTGGTATGGTTGCAGTTAAATTTGTGTGTGTGATATTTCTCCATCAGGTGTTCGGAAAGATTGCCATGGTGGACGGCACGCACATCAACAGAAACAACAACTTTCAGACCTTCCCTCAGGCTGTGCTCCTTCTCTTCAGGTGTGTAGGATTTGGGGGTCATGGGTGATCTGGAAACTATATCACTGTCAAATCAAGTCGAATTTTATTTATAGGGCCCAAAATCACAAATCTTAATTTGCCTCAGGGAGCTTACACCCTCTGTTTTTAGACTCTCGATTTTGGTAAGAAAAAACTCCTTAAAAAGGCCTTTTAGTGGAAAAAATAATGCATGAAACCTCAGGAAGAGCCACGGAGGAGGGAGGATACTTCCACCAGGATGGGAGATTTGCAATAGATGTCAGGTGTATAGAACAAACCAAAAAAAAACAGTATATAAACATTTTGAAAACACAATTTCTGATGTATGAAGATGATAAATGAAATGTGAAGAATGGTAGAGACCTCCTCTCCACCATGGAGATCTGGGGGACGATGTTTTTTTAGGTTTTGTGGGTTACTTGTTGAGTGATTAATTTCTGCCTTTCATGCCTGTCTGTTCCCCAGATGTGCCACTGGAGAGGCATGGCAGGAGATCATGTTGGCCTGTATGCCAGGGAAGCTGTGTGACCCAGAGTCTGACTACAACCCCGGGGAGGAGATGACATGTGGCAGTGGATTTGCAATAATTTACTTCATCACTTTCTACATGCTCTGCGCCTTCTTGGTACACATAAAAATAAAACAGTTTGGTTTACTGCTAGTTATAGTCCTTAAGATTACCTTCTGTTCCTCTTTAAGTGTTAGTATGACTAATGTAAAACTTGCTCTACATATTTGCTCATGCACAACCGAGACCCATGCAACTCTACAGATATTCTAACATGGCTACCAATAATTAGAGTAATGTGTAAAGTGGTAATACCAGTCTACCTAGTCTATAAGACTCATGGTTTTGCATGTAACAGTGACTTTTTGGTCAAAATTCACAGCCCTTTCTTAAGTGGCCAGTACTTACACAATTTTCCTGTGCCCCTCCAGATTATCAATTTGTTTGTGGCTGTCATCATGGACAACTTTGACTATCTAACACGTGATTGGTCCATTCTTGGTCCACACCACCTCGATGAATTCAAGAGAATTTGGTCAGAGTACGACCCAGAGGCAAAGTATGTGCTTTATTTACAGTATCCAAAAGGATTGCACGTTCATGTTTCTTTGCACTAATTTGTCAGTCGGCACATTGACAGTTAACATCTTACATCTGTGTTCTTCTTATACAGAGGCAGAATTAAACATCTTGATGTTGTGACACTTCTTCGTCGCATCCAGCCTCCCCTCGGCTTTGGCAAACTGTGCCCACACAGAGTTGCTTGCAAGGTCTCTGCACAAAAAAGTCTACTTTAAAAAATGCAGAAATGCTGATCATTTAGCCTTTCTGTTCTGTTCTGATCCATATTGAAGTCTTCTCTCTGGTCTGTTGTTCTTTCAGAGGCTGGTAGCCATGAACATGCCTCTGAACAGTGATGGCACAGTCATGTTTAATGCCACTTTGTTTGCACTGGTGCGCACCGCCCTGAAGATCAAAACAGAAGGTATGAGCCAAATTAAAACCACATTACACTGTACTGCTCCTAAAAAAATACATACAGTACTCCGCTGATGCGTTCACTGATTCTCTGTTACCTGTAATTACATGGATTACATACATCCTTGCATGGATTTAAAATGGCTGTGAACTTGATTGCTGGTTTCTCAGGGTTGTTTGTTTCCCTGCGGTGCAGGTAATCTAGAGCAGGCCAACGAAGAGCTGCGGGCTGTCATCAAGAAAATCTGGAAGAGAACCAGCATGAAGCTGCTGGATCAAGTGGTGCCTCCTGCTGGTGGTTAGTGGAATCGGCCCGTGTCTGTCTATGAAATCACATACACCTTGTAGTCCTTCTGTTACAGTTTGACACACAAAGCAGGCTAGCTTACACAGAATCACACACACACCATATGCTGCCCACATGCTGTTTGCATAAAATTACAGGAAGCTCCAAACTGCTATTTCATAACTATGATACACACATAAATTCTCACACACAAGTAAATGTATTTGTGTCGTCCTGTTTCTGCTCTGCTCATGTTCTCCTTGTTGCCCCCTCAGCAGTGTGTTTCTTATCCATGTGTGTTTGATCCACACTCCCTCCTGCCCTGGATGCTGATGGAGGTCACTGACTGTCTGCTGGGCTTTGGGCTTGCATGGCCTTGTAGACCACTGTGCAAGTGCATGCTCTGTCTTTCTCACTAATCTCTCTCTCTCTACTTCTTTATCTGTCTCTCTCCTTTCTATATTACTCTGTGTCTCTATTTTGCCTTAATCTCTGTCCTTTTCTCACCGCTTGAGCTTCAACAGCTTATTCTTCTCACACTTTTATATTTCTGTATCCAAAACTCTGAGGCACTTCAGAATATTCTGAAGCAGTTCTGTTTTAGGGTGGTGGCATGGAACTAGTGTTGCCTCTCTCTCCGATCTCTGTCCCCAGCGTGCTTGTTCAAAGTGATTCAGACCCCTGCTTCAGAATGATTCTCACACACTCTTCAACAACCAAAAATTAAATGGGAAAAAAATACATGCAAGAACATGGCCATACAAAGTGCAATATTCACGGGCTAACACATGTCATATAACAAAAAGGCATACATGAGCACAAACAGGTAAATTTACAGAAACATACTGACATGTATGATGCATACTGTAGATCTGCTTGCTTGCATGTGCTAAAGTAGTCAAGTAAATGGCATTCTCTGACATAAGGAAAGAGAATTTGGTTCATACACCTTCCTGCTTCCCAATACAAAATATAAAAAACTAATTTAAAAAAGTGTCTCAAATGTAAATTAATGCCAGTTAATGTTATTGATGTTATCTAAATATTGAAAAGTATTTCTTTTGCAGCCTGTAACAGTAATTTTTAATCATACTGTGTGTTTATTTGTGGTCTATTTGACCTTAATTCTGCTCAGTCTGTCTTCTTCATCAGTAGCCTAACATTAAGGAAGAAGGGACATAGAAGTTACAGTTGTTACAGCTTCAATGGGTAACATTGATGCTGTAGGTGTTTGAACATTAATTCCTCCGACTGAATCCATCAAATTCAAAATCATACATATAATGTAGAGGATTTCACTTTTATCATCTAAAACTCTTCACATGTAGAAATTCACAAACTCAACACTAAGATATTGTAGCATATATTTGATTTTCTGTTCTTTTAAACACAGCAAAGGAGCTCAGTCGGTGCAGATTGAGGTACAGTATATACACCATCAAGATGGATGTATATAGTTTGGGTATAAATCATTTTGGTTGATTGGGGTTAAAGAGTGCCTCACTTGTCTACAATCCAAGGTGATGGACCCACAATTTTTAAAGAGAATGGACGAGGGAGGAGAAGAGTCTCTCCTTCTCTCTCCCAGTACTGTGTGTAGTGACCTGCTGACACAGGAAGCATTTGTGTGGTCTGTTCACTCAGATGATGAGGTAACCGTGGGGAAGTTCTATGCCACCTTCCTGATACAGGACTACTTTAGGAAATTCAAGAAACGTAAAGAGGAAGGCCTGGTGGGTGCTCACCCCTCCCAGAACAACACAGCTATTGCTCTACAGGTAAGTTTCACAGTGTTTTTGTGTAATTTGTGAGAGAGAGGAGAGAGATTGTTTGATATTGTGTGAAAACATGGATTTATGAGCATTCTAATTTTGTCGAGTTGGCTCTGTAAAATGTGTCTTTGTGCATTTCATTCAAATATCATTAAGTGTGCTAATGTTATGGTTTATGATCCAGCAGGACGTTCATGATCTTAGTGTACAGTATGAATCTGTTACTGTGATTTGTATGTTTCCAATGTGTGAAGTTGTTATTTGTGTCTCTGCGTCTTTTAAAGTTACAATCATTAAGATTTCAGTTCTGGTTGATTTGACAACACTTGTGGTTACTGGTGGTAACAGCAAGTATGGTTTAATAATACAGAACGCTCCAAGCAGAACAGCTACTTTGTCACGACATAAGAGCAAATGGTGTATTTGTTTACTGTTCAGCCAAACAAACGATTGTTGTTTTAATAAAGAAGTCAGGCGATCATTTTCCATCATTCCTGTAAGCAAATGTGATCTGATTTCATGCTGCACACAGCATGAGTCTGCCAACAGTATGGCACCTCGTAGAGAGGTTAAAGGTGTGCATCTTGTCGGTTGCAGCTCTGAAACTCACTGTTGCTCCTCCTCCTTTTTTTGTCACTCCCTGAAATATTTTAATCTGATCCGCTGTCTAAAATGTAGAAAATGACTGCCGTCTTGTTTTGTAGACTAGATTTTTGATGAACAACCACATTGCATATACTGTGATTACTTCATAATAAAAGTCAAATCGTGTTTCACCAAATAAATCTTGTAAGCTGCAGCAGTAGGAAATGTCTGCATTAGCAGTTATACAGCATTTTTGTCTGTGAATGTTGCCACAGACATCCAGTTCGTAATACTACAAATAAAAAAATACTGCAATACTTTCATTAGTGGGCCACAGGCTCAATCACCATTGTGTTGCCTCATTCAGTGATAAATAGTGACTTAGCAGTAATTTGTTTGAATGAAAATCTTTGAGATTGTTACTTTAAATATCATAGATGTTGATGTTAAGTGTGTCATCGTCACCACCCATCATTTCATGTGTTTTCTGTACATCACAATTCACTCATCGATTCATGAAATTCACATGCAAAGCTCGTTGTCATTTCTGTTACCTTATAATGTACGATATATGGCCACAACATAACCCCATATATCATTGTCAGACAGTAAACATGACCAGCTTTTAGTTCATTTATAATTACATTTTTGTGTATGTTGTGCTAATGTGGTTAAGTACACCTGCAAAGGAAAGGAAGGGAAGAAAAGTAATTCTTTACTGCACTTACTCCAGCATGTGTGACAAAGCACAGCTGGATGCTACACAAGACATTTCAGCTAAGTAATACTCACAGCAGGTTGCATTCAGGAGAGCACATTTGTCTGTCTGTGTATTCTCATCTCTCACAGTCTGTCAGTGCTGTAAATGTCAGGTGTTGCAAATCCCAGCACAGGTGTGTGTGTATGCCCAGTATGTGTGGTGGTTGTGACTGTATGATGTCAGATTTCATACTGTGAGTTTTAAGATGAAGGTCCCCCACTGTAGCGTTTAGCCCTCTTATTGTCATGGTTACAGGCTGGCCTTCGCACGCTGCATGATATTGGGCCCGAAATTCGCCGAGCGATATCATGTGATCTGCAAGATGACGAGCTAGTAGACTTTATTCCAGAGGAAGACGAGGAAATTTATAGGGTAACTGATTTAATTTTACATGACAGGAAGAATGTTGAATGTGCTTGTAACACTTATTGGTGTTTTACATGGTAATTTACACATAAAAAAGCTATTTATTAAAGGAAATGTGCTCAGAGAAATAATAACCAGCTAAATATATAGTTATTATATTATATAGTATTGTCTATATATTGATACAATATCTAGCTTTTTTTCATTTTGGCTTCCTTTGTTTTCCCTCCATTTCAATCCCAACAAACTACAAACAATGCATTCATTTTGCTCACATCATGTGCCATGAAACCAGCTTCTGAACTTCTTTTTGCTCATACAATTTCTGAAAAGAAAATCAGTCCTCAGACTTAACATCAATAGCACATTTGTTCTGTTGCTTTGTAAGAAGTAGAAGCCCCGGTGGTTTTACTTTGAACATTCCTTCACAGCGTAATGGCGGACTCTTCGGTAACCATCTCATGAACGGTGGTCATCGGCGATCCAACGGCCACCAGACCAACGCTACACAGCGACCTCTACAGGTGCAGCCTCCACCGCACTATGCCCATATGGAGCAACCAGTGGGACGCCTGTCTCGAGCCAACGCCATGTCCCACCCCAACCACCATCATCACCACCACCACCATCACCACCGCCACCACAACTCCTACGGCAAGTCTCCCAAATCCACCAACATCAACCTCAACAATGCCAACGTGTCCAGTCTGCCCAACGGAGGACACCATCGTTACTATGAACATGCACCTCCTAATGGCTATCCAGGTCTTCGCAGCTCCTACTACGACTATGACAAGCCTCGGACACCCCAGGGTCAAAGGTAGCCACACACTGATCTTCTGCAGAAATGGTTAAATGGATGTAGAAAATGCTGAAATTATTTGTAGAACAGGTAGATACCACATTTGTATGGAGGTTGTGACAAATTCATGTCAGTTAATTAAATAAATGACAGTCAATGTCAAAAATTTAATGTAAACACTGATGAAAGTAGAAAATCCCCTTTATTTTTGATGTGCAAACCATACCATTGTTTTTGCAGTTAAAATGCACTTAAGTTTTAGTTCCAGTGTCATTTAAAAATATCCAATTTGACTTCTTATAGAATTAGTCAGATGTTTTGGGAAATAGGCTTATTATCTTTTTTGATGAGAGTTAGACGAGAAGATTGATACCACTTTTATGTCTGTATTGTAAGTATAGATTTAGAGCCAAGAGATGTGTAGCCTAGCTTAGCATAAAGACTGGAAACGGGGAATTAGCTAGACTCTCTCAGTCCACCTAAAAGTACCCATAAATCTCACTAACAGTACATTTTGTTGCTTTAGGGGCTAGCTGTTTCCCACAGTTTGCAGTCTATATGCTAAGCTAATTGCTAACTGGCTGGGGTACCTTCATTTTTATTTACTGCACATAAATGAGACTGGTCAATAGTCGTATCTAACTCTCTGTGGATTTCCCAAAATTGAAACCAATTTAAGGTCTCAAGATTTTGGTCAAATTTAGTTTGTTCATATAGATAAGGGAATTTCTTCAATATATGGAGATGTGATAAATGGTTATTTTGAATGAATGCCTGACCCCAGTTGGTTGTGTTTTTCCTATTAAGCAAGTATTGTTTTTGTGATGAGACAGTTAAGAGATAACTTCAAAACTTAGTCACAAAATAGTTTGTAGAATACATAGAATATCACCCAGTGATAACAGCAAGTGTAAGAGTCTAGATATGGATTATGGATTTCCTTTTAAGTGTTTGGCTGAAACGTCAATAGATAATAATAATAATAATACATAATAAACGGTTGCAGAAGTTTTTAAATGGATTTCTTTTTCCACTGTTCTCCTCTCATGCAGCTATCTTAGGCTGTATGACAGCACATAACTGAGGAAATTATTTCTATTTATTTATTAGTTCCTATGCCTTGAGTGTCCTGTGGACATTATCTGTTGCATAAGTACTTTTCCCACAGGCAAGATCCAGCTTCTTATCAAACCATCCTGTTTCACAAACCTATAGTGTAAACCCTTCACTCCATAACGCCTACGCTCATACTGACTTCTGATGACTTCTACTGATTTCATCAGTGACCAATAGTATACTTATCTCCTGATTTCCCATGCTCTGTTTTAGTCAGTCACTCTAGCACTGGGCTTGTTTTTCTTTAGTACCCAATAAGTTTGGGGGACAATTTCATTGCTGCCACTTTACAAAAGAGGAATGATGTTTGCTTCTTATCTTAAGAATAGAAAATGGAATTGTCAACCCACAGTGGAGTCGATGTCCGCCATCACGCTCTCTCCTCCTCATACATATATATGAGAATGCTGTATATGATTCATATACTGTATGATATATATGTTGCGCTTTCTCCGTCATTTTCTCTGTGTTCTCTCCTCCCTTTCTCCTTCCTAACCAAAATGCTTTCTCTCAACCATCCCTCTGCTTTCTTGGACAGAAGGCGCTACTATGAGGCCTATGTTAGGTATGTTGTTTTTCTAGGTTTGGCTCCAGCAGTATGTCTCATCACAGCAAAAGAAGGACTTTATTTTTATTTAGTTTATTTGTTTCATTTTGACTGGGTTATGGATCGGTGAATGGTTGCATCTTTGCTAAGTCAGTGTTATGTGCTATATGCTGGCTAGTCATTTGTCTTGGTTATCATCTGCCTCTGGAATGATGCAGTGTCAATGCTTTAAAGCAGAAATAATGTGAATGTTAGTGGCCAGCATATCACTGAGACCAGCCCTGCTTTATGCATGTATCAAAGTGACGTGCTTGCTTTGAAGGAGGACCCAGATGCTTGAAAAAAGGAAGCGTATGAGAATGTTTTGAAAAATTGCATTTGCCACCATTAGTTTCACAATTATTTTACTTCATGATTCCTAACTGGAAGAGATCTGTGTTTTAATTATCATAATGGAGGACCTCAAAGTGGGACGTTTAGATGGCAGTGGTGCTCTTCAGCCCAAAACTTCTGCCTGTTGTCTTGGTTTGGCTGTGGTTAGTATTTATAAGGGTGGTCAGTTGCATCGCTGGAGGCTTGCGTCTGCATGGCAGTGCATGACCCTATTCTAGTAACCCCTCTGAACAGCAGCAGTGTTCACGCTCTGACCCCTGTGCCCTGACCTCTCAACAGGTCCCACGGAGTGGATGGACGCCACCCTACCATCCGCAGGGAGGAGGAGTTTGATGAAGACCGCTTCTCTGGGGAGTATTACAGTGGAGAGGAGTTTTATGAAGACGACAGTATGCTGTCAGGGGACAGGTATTACTCTTTCTGACTGTCAACTGAGCTTATGTAGCAATCTTATGTGCAGTTGTATCCTGCTCAGAATAAGAAACACGTTTAATAAAATGTAAAGGGTTTTAGAAAAGTGTGTGCCAAACCCTTGCCTTCCAACATACTCTTTATTCTATATGTTAACAGGTATCAGAACAGTGACACAGAGTATGAGACTCCCAAAGGTTACCATCACCCTGACAGTTACTATGACGATGATGAGCAGCCTCTCTACCGCGACTCACATAGGTCACCAAAGAGACGGCTGCTTCCTGCCACACCTCAAGGTATCTTACATTCTTGTATACAGCAGCATGAGTTACATGTCTATCTTATACTGTATATGTCTACATTGAATTTTCCAAGTAATACATTTTAAGTAAACTCACATACAACACTGTCTTGCTTGGCAACATAATATCACAAGTCACAACAGATCCAAGCATTGGTAGAAAGTATAGACCTTGAGCTGACGTGTGTTTCTTATTAAATATATAAACAGCTTTACCAGTAAAAAAACACCAACAAAAATATAATTGTTATGAAGTCAGAGTAGAGCTTAATTGAATATAATACATGAAAATATCAGCAAATAAAAAGAAATATAGACAAATAGATAATAATACATCATCATTTGTTCTTTTGTTGGTTTTTGTACATCATTTTCAGCATAAGGCTTTAGGCTAGCTATAACCCTAGCTAGTAGACTGCATTACATATGCAGCTCTGGATAAAATAAGCCATAAAACAGCTTTCTTTTTCATAAAACTACTGAATGCACTCATACCAATACATTTAACTCTCACTGTATGATTTACTCACTCACCAAGTTTCATATTCCTTAAATGCTTTGCAATATTGCATGTGCTGTTAAAGTTTCCTGCATGAGGTCACTCACTGATCCCCTCCTGACTCATTCAGGTAACAGGAGGCCATCCTTCAACTTTGAGTGTCTGCGCAGACAAAGTAGCCAGGACGAGCTTCCACATCAGCGTACTGCTCTACCACTGCACCTTATGCAGCACCAGGTAACACAGGCACATGTCTCACATGTACTGTTTGCTCACTCACATTGTTTTGAACACTGTGTCACATTTTGATCATGTTCAGTCAACAGACTTATCATATTTCCCTCTCATATTTTTGCACATATCCTCCTGGAGTAACAGTAGTAGTTGTAGCTACACTTGAGTAGAGTAGTACAACTTGACTTTACTACAACTCCCTGTGGCTGTGTATTAAGTCTGTATCATGTGTCTCTTGACCCGTCAGGTTATGGCTGTAGCAGGCCTGGACTCCAGCAGAGCCCACCGCCTCTCCCCGACCCGCTCCACCCGCTCCTGGGCCACTCCTCCTGCCACTCCGGCCAGTAAAGACCAGTCACCATACTACACTCCTCTCATCCGTGTGGACCACCCACACAGGGAGAGCGCTGCTAGTAGCCAAGTGTCTGTGCGCAAGAGCTCCTGGTACACGGATGACCCCGAGTTCTCCCAGAGGACGTACTCGCCCATCCACCTGCAGGTGCCGCCTGAGTACCATAACCAGTACCACCAGAAGAGAGGCAGCGCCACCAGCCTTGTGGAAGCGGTGAGTTAGAGGCTTGGTTGGGATGTAGGGAATTTTTAGACATGTGCTACAAAACAAAATATGACAAGCAAGATAAGTAAAACAAGATTGCAAAGATTCACAGTAACATATTTTTTCCTCTCTTGAGCAGGTTTTGATTTCAGAAGGGCTTGGGAGATATGCCAAGGACCCCAAATTCGTCGCTGCCACAAAGCACGAGATAGCAGATGCGTGTGAGATGACGATAGATGAGATGGAGAGTGCAGCCAGTCACTTGCTGAACGGAGGGATGGCCCCGGTCGTCAACGGGGTCAACGTGTTCCCCATTCTGACTCCAAGGGACTATGAACTGCAGGACACAGCAGCCAGCTACAGCGATGAGGAGCCAGAAACAGAACCAAGAGCTCCTTATGAGGAGGACCTGGCAGATGAGATGATCTGCATCACAACTTTATAGCAGTGGCTGGAGAAATCTGCAAATTAGAACCATGTCAGACTAAATCAGTGAAAATTAAAAAAGAAATGCATCTGTTGGCTCCGACCAAAAGAAGTGCCTTTTACATTGAAGAGAAAAGGCATATAGCAGAGAGACACATTAGTCCCGTTCATTTAAGTTGTTCTCCACCTGCCAGCAAAGGAGGTCACAGGACAGAGCCAGATACCATCCCTGCTGAGCACAAAGGGACTGACTGCACCCTTCTGTCAAAGGCCTTGACCTGGAGTTGACGTACTGGTTCAGCCTGCAGCCAATCAGAGATGAAGACATTGATGCCAGTGAAAGATGGAACAATTGGCAGAGGTGTGAGATACTCTCTAGGGCGGGTCTTTAAGGGTGATGACAATCAGATGTACGATGTCATTACCTCGGTCACTTTATTAAGGTTTGGCATATCATGCAAGTTTTCAATGCAAGCATAGAAAGGCATATCTCCTCCCGTAGTCGTTAGTATATATTGATCCCTTTGTTGTCATTACAGACCGTTTAACGATCGCTACAGCTGAGTCAAAAAGTGAAGAGCACCAGTAGAGTTGTACCAGATTATGCAGGAACTAACTGTCCTACTTATAGCATCATTCAACTTGAGATATGTACTTTTGAAGCGACAAAAGCATTTGTGATAAATGCACTAGCAGGCAGGTTATTTTAAAATTTTAGAATAGCCTGGTTAATATTTCATAGTTGATATGCTGTAAATTGTATTATATAACAAAAGGAACTTTGTAAAGAGATTCTATATTTTGTAATTATGTATAATTTAAAAGATCAGCAATATGGACCCTTGTGACTCCTGTTATGCTATAAAAGCAGACTTGCATTATTTTATTAGGTACAATATTTTAATGTTCATTTGCCTTTTATTTTTTTGCTAATATGCACCCTTTATTTTGCCTATAAAAACAGCATTTTTAAGAGGTTCTGCTTGTGTGACAACACTGCTGCACAAGATATGCAAATGGCTTTGATTTCTTAGCATAGGAGTACATGTGTTACTTCATTAAACCAACACCAGTTGCATAAGGTTAAGCCCCCTTTAAAGGAGCATTTTTAGAAGGCAAGCCTCAAGGATCCAGTGCTGAAATTTTATACAGATGTGATGACCACATTTGTTTGCATATTTTGTGCAGGGCATGCACAAGAATTTAAAATGCATAGTGCATTAACAATGCTGCTTTTTTAGTTGGTTTCAGAGTCAAACCTAGGTTTCGTCAGCCCCTACTGAAATGCCTTTTTGCTGCTGAAAGAAAGAAAAATGATAGATGGTAATAACAGGGATAAATTCATTCATGCTGGGATTATCCATGACATACTCTTCGTTGATCATGGTTGTAATTCCATTAAACCTTTGTACTGAATCTTGGCAATCACATCTTAGCCTTCATGTAGTGTGTGAGGCCTCGAAGCCTGTGGTGGCAGGAGACACATGCACACATCCAAAGGTCAGAAACAGTCCAACGTGTGTTTTAGATGGAAGGACAGAAGGTGTCCTGATGTCAGGATGCTGGAGAGAGGCAAAGCAATACTAATCCCCCGACCCTTTCTCTCTCAGCCTGCCTGGTTCCTGCATACAGAATACCTCGTTAGGCAACAGTGACAACATATCATTGTCTCAATTTACTGTCTGTCACAGTGTCCCACAGTGGAGTCTTTGAAAGGGATTAGGTATGGCTGAACCTGGACTTTGTGTTTTTTCCCCTAATGATATTTATTAATGAGACTAAAAGGGGGGAAACTAACCCTTGTTGCATAAAAAGGAGCAACTGAAGCTCACAAGTTGGAACACAACAAAATATCTTTTTATCAACTATCATTTATTGGTCTGTTACAATACTAGACTAAATAAACTGAAGTGGGCTTTTTCAGGCATTACCATGGAGAGTTTGAATTAGCACCAAGGATATTTAGGGTTCATGTGATCTGTTGTTCATGAGTGTTTGATTTGTAGGTGAGTGCGTACTGTACTCTAATTCAACCGAATACTGTCATGAAAGTGTAGGTTTTCCATTTTGTGTGCACATTGAAAGGGCTCTTTGAATTGTTTGTGAGTAAAAAAAAAATGTGTTCTAGTCCTTTTGTTGATGACTGTCATATAAAAGGACCAATGCACATAACAGGCACATTGTACTATTCGTAGCAATTACAGTACTGATGAACTGAAGATATGCATTATTTTGTAAACACTTTTAAAAGTTGTGTTAAACTAAAGATGAAAAGAACTTACTTTTACCTCATGTCAGGGATTCCTGAAAAAAGAAAATATTGATTTGGTTCAGTCTATACCAATGGTATTTAAATATTAGCACATAGCTGTTTGTCTTTGCACAAGTAACTGTATAGTGCTTTTGTTTCTCCTTTTTCTAAACAGATTTGTGTATTAAGGTGAGACAATTTTGTACTTTTTGTGACTGTGTGTATGGTTTAGTGGAATCTATATTTGTCATTTACACCTCACCTTACAATGCTGGGAATGAAAGTGTATTAAAAAATAATTTCAAGGTGCACTGTTTCTCTGTTCGCAGGTAGGGAAAAAAATAAAATGGTAAAGTACCTGTTTACAGAGAAACACATATTGATTTGAACGTTTCTATTAGTTTTCTTCATATTGTTATGATTATAATTACTATTACAACTATTAATGTTCTGAAAGCTGTATTAAAATAGAAGATAATGTAAAATATGTACAAAAGTATGGAAAGACCCATGGTAATGTTCTCTACTTGAAAGTCTTGATATTTGCTCCTTAATGTTTTTATTCAGTAAACATCATTTCTCTTAGTAGCAAATGCTTTACTATAACCTTCTAGGTTTTGTATCAATACATTTTTTTGTATTTTTGATTTTAGTTGGCCTTGACTTTATTTGAATCGATACTGATATTTTATTTTCTATTGATCATCATTGAATAAACTTATGCTGAATTACTTTTCTCATTTATTTGTACTCTGTTTTCACCACCACAAACTCTATACCTATGACATTAAAGAACTCGTCCTATCTGCTATAAAATCACAATACAGTGATTACAGTGATACAATCACAGTTTAAAAAAACAGAAATATTAAAACACTGTAGTCATAGTTAACTAATGACTGGTGACAAAAAGTATGTGTAAACTGAATTATACACATTTCACGCCAAAAGCTTTTTAATGGATGCATGTAGGTGTGTGTACATTTCAGGCAGGCGACACTTTGTTGGTTGAAATCTCCACAGTCGTTGTCGTCTCATCCTCGTCCTCCAGCAAGGGATCTCTCCCACACAGCAGGAAGGGCACTGCATATTTACGAAACTGCGGAAAACAAAATGAGCCATTGCATAAAATGTTCAGCCAACACAAAATATATCGTCTCTTTCTTTAATGTAATAACAAACATTCAGACATCATTCAGCAGCAAGCACAAGGTGCATTATTGTCAATTATATATGATGCATAATATAGAAGTACAATAAATATAAAACTAAAATTCTAAGATAATGTTAAAGATATTGCAAATTTAACAATAACTTAAAAAAATGTCTCCTGACAGTTTTCTTTAATCCCCATATTTATCATATATAACTAGTTTATAAACATTTCATAAATGTTTTATAATACTATAATGTAGTTGTGACCAGAAATATTATTACATAGTTGTAGTAGTATGTAATATGTCTTTAAAGGAGACGTTATAATTGTTGACAAATACTGAATAAATTCTTAAAATGGGCATGTCTGCTTACAACTACATCGTAGTGTGTTATACATAATTTATTTAATGTTTATATAGTGCCTATGTTGGCTCCTGACAGTGGGCTGAAGTAAAGTGTTCAGATGACTAACAACGTTTTATAATATAGTAATGTACATACACTCCTTTTGTTTTTCCTTAGTCTTAAGAATTTTTTATTAGACTATGAATTTGGTTTTGTGAATATGAAATGTACACATGATAATATTTAAATAACAAAGCAATATTGTTACATTTGCATTAAGTTAGTTAGTTTAGTTAGTTGTCTTTACCCCCAGTTCGAACAGAAACCCACATTCCTATACTGAATACCAAGACAAGGTCTATCAAAACCACTAGATGGTGCTGCCGACCCAAAACAGAGTAGTATTTTAGAGCTGAGATGTGATGAACAATTTCTTCATCAGATCCGGATAGAAATTCTATTATGATCTTTATGTAGTGTTCCAGTACCTGTTTGTTAAGGTAGATGTAGATAATAGGATTGTACACAGTGCTGCTCTTGGCCAGGTAAACTGGCACTGTGCCCACTAGTGGGTTAATCTCCACATCAGGGTTATAGACTACCAGCATGGCCAGGCTGGCATATGGCATCCAACTGATCAGAAACGTCACGACCATCAGGACCACCATGGACGCCACCTTCATTTCTCCTTTAGCTACTGCACCACCTTCCAAACAGGCCATCTTTGATACCTGTAATACAGAATGTAAACAGTTAGAAGGTCCATTGGATCATTTATAACACATGACTGTGGTAAATCTTTGGTTTGATACTGACAGGCTGCCATTGTTGCATGCCATAACCCTTAATCTGTCCTCATGTCTCCTGTCTACTGCAAGCACAGTACACCATTGAAAAGACTCTTAGATAAACCAGGGATACTTACAAAAGGCACATACTTTACACTATACACCAGCTGTCCTATGATCAGACAAAATACTATTTTACTTGAGTAAAAGTACCAATACAACAATGTATATATACTCCATTACAAGTGAAATCCTGCATTCAAAATCCTACTTAAGTAAGTACATTAAGTAAGTATTTTTAGGAATATGTGCTTCACATTAAAAAGTGAGTGATATATTATTATATATGACATTACTATATTGTTCCTGAGGCAACAAGTAAGCAACATTTTACTGTTGTAGAACTAAATTTAAATATCTAGTTAAGTAGTTTGGTCCAGTATTTCTTGACCTGGGGTTCTGCCTTCCTCCAGAGGATTAAAAGATAAAGTGTTCTGTTACACAAACGTGTTTTGTTTTTTGTTGTTGTTTTGCTTTGACTTTCTTCTATTTTAAGTTTGGATTATTTCACCTCTTTTGGTCTCAAATAATAATCTGAATAAAACCATGGGATAGTTTAGAGGGGAAATGGACTTGCTAACAAATCATAGACATAAATTGTGACATAGTTCCTCAAGACTTTTTTGTACGGTTGGGAGCCACAGGTCTCATCTCTAACAATTCAGTGCATTTTATAAGTTAACAAATGTTTTTAGATGTAACATCTTAATTTGAAAAGCAATTAGTAACTACAGCTGTCAGATAAATGTAATGGGGAAATAAACACTACAATATTTCACTTTATATTGTAGTATGGACATATTCATGGTCAAGTGCCATAAAGTTGTACTCAAGTACAGTACTTGAGTAAATGTACTAGTTACTTTCCACCACTAAAGACAAGTGTATAAATGCTCACCCGGTGTAATGTCCACATTAGCTTCGTGTAGGATGCCAAGATAATGGCAAAAGGTACCGCAAAGCACACTGCAAAGTAAGCCAGGATGTAGGAGACGTTATGAGGGTCCCGGTTGTGCCAGTCTGGTGCACAGGAAGTCCCGACACCTTCCAGCTCATACCTGCCCCAGCCAAACAGCGGGGGTAAGTTCCATGTGAGGGACCACAACCAGGATAAGGCAATACCTCCAACTGCATGCTTTTTCTGGAAAATGATCTGCCCCAGTGGCTTACATACAACAAACATCCTCTCCACTGCGATCAGAGCAACAGTGCACAGAGATGTGATGCCTGTGGACAGGTGAGGGGGAGCATAGTCAGGTGGACACTCGGGAGAGGTAGGGAAGTGCCTGATAACTTGAATGAATATTGTTCTGTGATTACATGAAAATTACATAAACACAGTGAGGAACCTGCCATCCTATGAAAAGTTTGTTTTACATAGAAAGGATATTCATGTTGTTCTATAGTTCTGTAGAAAATAAAAGCAGTTAAAAACACTACTTAACTTCTACTGTGCTCCTCTTTTCACTCACCAAACAAGGACACTGCAAAGCCCTCCATCACGCAGCCTGTTCTTCCCAGGGAGAAGTACCCCTGGGCATTGTTGACCACAGACAGCACCCCTCCAGTCATGGCTGTGCCCAGGTCAGCTACAGCCATGTTCACCAGAGCGTAGTTGAGTGGCTGCCTCAGCTGCTTGTGCATTAGGGACACAATGATCACTGTACCGTTGAATATGATGGCTGGACCGGTGAAAATGGCCATAATGATGGAGAGAATGATGAAGCCTGTACGTGACAGAGGGGGCTCCCCATGTGGGCCCAGGTAGAAGGAAGCATTTGGGGAAAGAACAGATGGATGCATGGATGCAAAGCTTTAAAAAGTGGTCGGGGTAGTTTCTTCTTGTCCTGGAGCTTCTAGATGTTCAATAACTCCCCGTCCAAGTGTGACAGCTGAGATTACATGTCCTAAGAATAAGTACTCCAGACCAGGACTTAACAAAGAGTAATTCCTCCAAATGATGATCCTTGATCCCTCACCTTTTGCTTGATTGTAAAGGCACTTATACAGAATAAGTGCACAGTTATCCTCACCAGGATCAGTCTGCTAACCATGCGCAAAAAAAACCACTCTCTGACCACTCCTATCTCTCAGAGGGATAAAGAGGCTGTAGGTTTAGCTGTCTGAGAAATAGTGTGTCACAACATATAGTAACTACAGTAGAGACTGGCTCAGGGCTGATGATCTCTTTCTGGTTCTTTCTCTCACTCTCTATGTCTTTCTTTCCCTCTCTCTCCCCCTCTTGCTTACCCCACACAAACCAGGGGTCAGTGAAAGTTTAATCAGTGTCAGTATGAAGTCAGGTCAACTTATTTATAGAGCACACGTAAGAACAACAGATGTTACAACACAAATGTGGATAATGACAAACTGAATGATTTAGACCTACTGTCAAACATGAGTGCAAAATGACAACAATGTGGTGGATGACAATAATTGTAAAAAGTTTGTACAGTAGACATATGTGGAAAAGGCTGCTGAAAATGTTTAATTGTCAGATTTAAAATGAACACCTTGGTTTTTAGTTGTTTGTATTGTTTGTGTGGATGTATCAGTGTGTGTGAAAGATTCATTGTACAGTTTAAAGGCATTTAAGAATCTTGGGGCTCAAAGAAGTCGCCCTGCTATACCTTACAACTCATACCTTATTTAAACCCCAGTATACAGCTTGTACACCTGGTTATAGATGATTCAGCCCTCCACATTGCAACATAGCAGTCACTTAATGTCTTATCTGCTAAACAACAATGTAAACTATTATGCTTCATGTAACCTGCAACAGATTAAACAATGTGAACTTGCTGTGAGGTGTTTTGTTTATTTTGTCCCTCCCCTGCAGTGATATACATTATCTGCACTGCATATGAATCGAAACATTGGACGAAGATTTAAACCCAAATGGACACTTTTCCCTTTTGTCTTACGAAGAACGTTACAGTAACAATGTTTTCTATGGATCAGTTTAAGACAAGCAGACAAGTCCCTGTTCCTGCAGCGAGATCCCATTTGACCCCAGCCTAATTCTCAAAATGGTGGAGTAACTTGGTTAAGCTTTTATTCACGTACACAATGTAATGTGCTGTCTGGACTCCGGATCACTGTGATGTGCTATGAATAAATTGCTACTGAACATGTTATCAAAAACTCACACTGATGAGTTCAATACATGATAATGACAACAAAAGGATATGTAAAGTTCACTTTGACAGTGTTTTCAATGGTTGGAGCTTAGGGTCAAGTCTAAACTAACTACAGTACACTACTGTTGCATGGTGAATGGTTAATTTTTACCATTAAATACTGTAATTTAT